AGGAGCTGGAAGAGTTCAACCTACAGAAATATGCAGCATCAGATGAGTGTTTAAAGAACCTGTACCCAGTTGTCACAGCATCCAGAAAAGCTCTGTAAGTTTCTCCTGACTTTTTATATGATTTTAGTTCATGTATGTATCTATTCGCATGAGTAACACTCAATGCGTTTACATGGAGTATTTCTTTCAGCTACTATACAGTAGGTAAGTACACGGTTTGGGACGCAGCCCGCGGCTTCAAACAGTCGTCTGTTTGCACGTGCAGCATGACAAATAATCAACTGCACTTAAAGCGTTCGTAAAAATTTCAAATAAAAACACCTAAGACTGTATACGGTACCATAACTAAGACAACCTGTATGTTGATACGTGAAATTCTGGAGGGAACGTTGGACGGCGTGGCGTGGTGACGTGATGACGTGTGATGTTAATCGATTTATGTTCTATAACATGTAAAAACGGGTACATGAAAGGAATATTCTAAAAGCGACTCATGTAAACACTTTAATCACATTACTATCCCAATTAGAGTAAGGTCATAAAGAGATTACTGCTGTCCATGTAAATGTTGTCACTGAACCTACTTCTTATAACTTCTAACTCAGTAAGGTCATTCAAACATTCTTCGTGTAAATGGTTCATCTTTCAGTTTTAGTAGACTGGGCAATTCTTACTGTGATATAAAATGTAAAATCCCAGCAGTTTTTTTTAGCAGGATAAGGAGTGATATCATTTGCATATTTATAGAAGTTGGGTTTCTTACCAAGATGACAAATACCATCAAGCAATATATTTTCTAAACAATATTAAAATGTTTTAAATTCTAATTTTAGGTGAATTTAAATCTAAATACTTGTGACATGTGTTGCTCATTTTTTTGCCCCAGGCTGTGTGAGTGTAATCTCACAGAGAAAAGTGGTGACGTTCTGGCAAAAGTTCTCAGCTCAGTCTGTTCATGTCTGAGAGAGCTGGACCTGAGTGATAATAAACTGAAGGATTCAGGAGTCAAAGGGCTTTCTGCTGGGTTGAAGAGTCCACAGTGTAAACTGGAGATCCTAAGGTAAGATCTTGGTTTTCTTATTGTGTAAATCAAATCCAGCAATAAGTGACGAAAAGACTGGTGACATGTAACACGTGATTTTCGGGCAATTGGCTGATTGGCATTGACACCACGTCCATTGTGCCCCCTGCGTTGTGCCCCGAGTTCCCCGGGAGAGTTCCAGGCTCCGCTGTGATGTTGTGGTATAGAAAATAGATAGAACTATGAGGAATGTGACCTCTACTGGGCAGGGAAATGTATTATACAAGCCTAGGTCGTAATATTTCTCTCTCATTTCTCTCTCAGACTTATCTCAGGTAATTACAAACTCACAGAGAAAACATTGTGTAGATTCACTAGATTACTACTACTAGTGAAAGTACTACCTTGTGTAGTTTGATCACAGACAGTGACCAACAAATAGAAAATTGAATATCTTATTGGTTTATTTTAGATGATGGGTCTACACAAGTATATTTGTATATGAATTATTTTTCTGAATAGTTTTTGCTGTGGGGCCAGTGATTATAATTTAAAACAGAATCACACACAGTGGTTTTAGACCTAAAAAATACTTATAAATACTACAACTAAGACCTGACTTTATGACTTTGTGGACTTTTTCTCCTGCAGGTTGCGTAACTGTAACATTACAGAAGAAGGCTGTGTGGCTCTTACTGAGGCTCTGAGGTCAAATTCACACCTGAGAGAGCTCGATCTGAGAGATAATGATCTAGGAGAACAGGGAGTGAATCTGCTCTCTGATATAAAGGAGGATGGAAAGTTCACACTGAAGAAGTTGGAGTGAGTTACTGATGTATTAACTGCTACAAACATCTCCCAAACAACATCTTCATGGGTTAGGGTTAGGAAGCCTGTGGATGGGCTGAATCCTGAGGTTGACATATTAATGATATTTCAGTTTAATTGAAATTGAACCTACTAATATTGTCAGTGCTGCTGTTAGTTCCCGATTGGTCAGATGCCTGAGGAAGGGCAGAAGTCTGAGCTTGCCTCCTGCTAGCTAAAGCCCTAGCTGCGGAGAAGCCCCAGGTTGGGCAGAAAGCTGAGGTTGACATACTGTATTAATGATTTTCCAGTTTAATTGAAATTGAACCTACAATTACTGTCAGAGCTGCTGTTAAAGAAAACTAATCAACACCTTCTGACCAATCACAATTCAGGATTTAGCAGTGCTGTGTATAAATTAAAATAATGCATATGGATGTCTAATAATTTTCTCTATCTTACAGGCTCTGAGATCTTCAGACCTGACCTGGTGTAAGGATGAAGTCTCATGGAGATAACCACTAACAGAACATACACACTTTCTTAGATCCATCATCATTCCTGACACACTAAACCTAGCTACTGATCGTGTTGTTGGTTGTAGAAGATTTGTGTGTTTATTGCTAGTTTGAGAGTTTGAGTTTTCACTTCATGAAGGAATTTGGATGTGAAGTAATGAATGGAAATTGTGATTAATTGCCTGTGTTTAATGTTAAAAGCATGCTGATTGTAAGTTAGTGAGTGTGACGAGAGATCTTGCAGACAAAACTCACTTGAACTAATGTCTGATGTCTTTCACATGTATTTTCTCATATTTCATGTTATTTTATATCTGTGAATAGATTAGATTAGATGTAGCTTAAGGTGTAAGTGGGGTGCAGCTGCCACACAATGTCAAAACCCTCATGTTATGAACGCCACAGGTTTTTATAACATGAAGTCCCACAGAAAGTCCCATTCTAGGAAAAAGCCTGCTGCTGGGCAGAAGCCCAGTTTGGCCAGAGGTTCCATGTTGGTCAAACGCATCTAAGTAGACAATGATCTGTAATGGACAAGGTTCTCCTGCCGGCTAAAGCCTTATGCTGGGCCTCTAGTTGGGTAGCCATGTTGAGCAGAAGGCCGTGGCTAGGCAGGTTGGTCAAATGCCAGAGCTCCTATTTGATCAGAAGCTCATGGTTGGTCAGATGACTGAGGATGGACAGAAACCTGTGGATGGGCAGATGCCTGAGGATGGGCAGATGTCTGAGATCATGCAGAAGTTCCTGATTGGTCAGAAGCCTGAGGACGGGCAGATATCTTGAGTTTGCCTCCTTCTGGCTAAAGCCCTAGCTGTGGAGAAGCCCCCGGTTGGGCAAAGCCACATGCTGTACAGAAACCTGAGGTTGATATTGGGCAGATGCGATTGGTTGCTCAGATTCAGATTGGTTGAGCTCACATGTAAAACTCTAATAGCAACTTTCTGTACATCTTAGGGGTTTTTAGGGTGTTTTTCAAATCACATTTGTAATGAAAGATCTTGTAGGTGTTAGTTAGTAGAGTCCTGTGTGATAGGAGAGTCCATGTGAGGAGACAGGAAGTGCAGATTGGCGTACACAGACAGAGTAACAGACGGAAACGTGCTGTAGGTACTGATGAGTCGATCAAAGCTCGAACAGCAGGTTTATGGAAATGAAATGCAGTAGCAGGTTAGTGGATTTAAAAATGAATATTCTGAGCTGTCTGATGGAGTCCTGACGTGTTTCTGGAAACGAATGAATTTAATCTGGAGGATCCACAAAGTAAATAAACCTGATTTCTTTAGTCCTGCGCAGTAAATGATAGAAAAGGTGTAGGAATAAAAGAGAGGTGTTACACCACGGCAGCATATTTAAACTCCTCGGTTACTGAGCACTTCTCTTTGTATTATTGTTTGTATAGGTTAGATATGTAAATGTAAAATGGTAAATGTGCACTTATATCGCGCTTTTATCCAAAGCGCTTTACACTGTGTCTCATTCACCCATTCACACACCAGTGGTAGCAGAGCTGCCATGCAAGGCACTAGCTTGCCATCGGGAGCAACTTGGGGTTCAGTGTCTTGCCCAAGGATACTTCGGCATGTGGAGTCACCCGGGCCGGGAATCGAACCGCCAACCCTACGATTAGTGGACAACCCACTCTACCACCTGCACCACAGCCGCCTTGCGTGTGATATGTGTGATATGTGTGATATGTGATGTAGTATGTATCGTTTGTTTCCATGCCTTGATTCATGCTCTCGTTTTATGCCACGATTCCAGTTTCCTGTTGTCCGGTGAAGACCGCGTTTTCTTTGGTTTTGAGTTACGTGTTGAATAAAGACTTTGATCTGCACCTGCATCCGCCTCCAGTCCCGTTCTGTAACAAGAGGAAATAGTTTCCACCAAAATCTAATTCACAGTTTAATCTGCTTGCTTTCAGAATAAGAGTGAACAATCAGAAATGGATCAATATTAAATTCTTATAAAATCATAAACCAATATCATATAACTATATTACTACATTTTATCATAAGCTACTGTATATAGCGCACTTATAAAGCACCTGTGGAGGTAAATCTAATCTTTCTCATTATTATATACATCTATTATCTCACTTCTAGTTCTGATTAATATTTACTCATCTAATACATAAATCTGCAGTACACAAGACAGCAGTCTGTAAGAATAGACTTGGACATTTGATTTGGACATTTTCATAAACATTTGTAAGATAACGTAAGATATTGAATATTATGTACAGATATATATTCCTGTGTTGTGTAACTGTACGTTACTCAGTGTGTGATGGGATGTAGTTTGTGTTCTGCTGATATAAGATGTGTAAGTGTGTGTTTATATAACTTACCAGCTTTAATTTATCATCTTAAGTTCACTTTAGTCAAATTTTCACTACTATACCGCTGTTTATTTATGCATGATGGGCCCTTTTGACTAAAAGTTTGAGTGTTGCTGTTTGTTCAGTCAGAGGTCAGACCTTCCGAATGATGAGGAGCGAAGAGTGGCCCGATCTCACGGCTAAGCTCTGACAGATTCGCTTCGTTCGCTATTTCTACTCACTGTGGTTGCAGTTTATTTCTTCCCCAAACACTGCTGCTGATCTTCCAAGCTTGTCATTTGGTTCTGCTGTTCATTCATTTAGGCAGTGTGTTTGTGGCAGCAGTAGCTCGGTGGTTAAGACGTTGGACTGTTTATTAGAAGGTTGTGAGTTCAAATCCCAGCACTGCCAAAGCTGGGCCCTTGAGCAAGGCCCTTAACCCTCAAGTGCTTACTGTAAATATGAGATAAATGTAAGTTGCTCTGGATAAGGATGTCTATCAAATGCCATAAATAATCTTGCTGTACACCAAAGACATTTTGGTTTGAGATCAAAATATATGATATTTTCATCTAGATGTGTTAACCAACATAAAACATGGAACTTTTTGTTGGAACCCCCATTTTTAGTCAAGCAAAAGTAAAGGAACAGATAAACCCAAATGTTTTCAGTCTGTAGCCAAAAACAAATGAATTGGCCTTGCTGTTCCAATAGTTCCGGAGGGGGCTGTATTACATTCATTATGTTTAGGATGTGATCATAAAGTGGCCTGAAGTGGTCCAGCTGATTCAATGAATCAAATCTCTCAAACCATTTCACCATTAAATAAAAGAAAAGTTTTGCTCTACATGCAGATTCATTTCTGAAGCATAAAGCAATGAAAAAACACGAAGACTTGATCAAACTCAAATCAAAGCTTTCAGAACTGAACTGAAATAACTATCCTGCCAGTGAGAACATTAACAATCAGCAAATGAAGGAAGAACTCTCAGAGGGAGAACTGGACAGAGATAAAGAGGAAGAGAGGGACTGGTGAAATGCGGCCATGTTTAAATCCATGGAAAGTCAATTAGAGAAAGAGAACAGAACAGTCAGATCTGAGGTGTTTCACATGAGTGGTAATAATCAGCAGGTAAATGTGACTTATCTCCATCATCAGCCAATCAGAAACGCCATCCCATATAAACAGGAAGTACAACTTAAGGCTCTTCTGAGAGATGTGGCTCCACACCTTCAGTTTCAAATTCCTGAGAACATAATAACTGTCCTCTAATCAGTGTTTAGAGCGATGTGGAGGACTACACATTGTTTCTCCTGCTCTAAGACACACTCCTAACACGGAATTGTTATATATATATATATATATATAAATATAAATTAATAAAATGTGTAAAAGTAAACAGGGAGGAATTAGGACAGGTGTTCCTAAGGGAGACGAGATGTCAGTGAACTATCTTATAAAGCAGCTTCTATATATTAAAAAAAGAAGAAGAAGAATAGACTCAGAAGCGTGGTGCTGTTTTATGTTATTTATTCAGCAAGCACCGATCTTACAGGTTAGGTGAAAAAAACAATGCTTCATCTGTCTCTGTGAACTGGGATAATTTCATACGATTCATATTTTGATCACGAAAAAATGATTTAATATTACTAAAAGGGGAGTTCGCATGTTCTCCCCGTGCTGCGGGGGATTCCTCCGGGTACTCCGGTTTCCTCCCCCAGTCCAAACACATACATGGTAGTCTGATGGGTGTGTCTAAAGTGTCCGTAGTGTATGAATGGGTGTGTGAGTGTGTGTGTGATTGTGTCCTGAGATAGACTAGTACCCTGTCCAGGGTGTACCCTGCCTTGTGCCCCATGCTCCCTGGGATACGCTCCAGGTTCCCCGTGACCCTGAAAAGGATAAGTGGTAGAAGATGGATGGATGGATTACTAAAAGAAAAAACTTTACTACTACCACTACTACTACTAATAATAATAATTTTCTTTATTAATAATTAAATTGTTAAAAACGCACCAGGGGCATTAATAACAAAAAAGATATATAGATATACAAATACACTGTCTTAACTAAACAAATAAGCACACACATTAACAGTCTTTCTGATTCCGTGTCCAGTAGGTGTCACTGTGTGGAATCGACTCCGGATCTTTCGAGTCGGCTCCCACGTTCCATTGCCTGGAATCGGAGAGTCGGCTCTTTTCGTTGACTCTGCTGGATCACCTGAATGGGCGGAAAGTAACGTTAGCTCCTGTCACTGCGTTCACTCGTGCTGTGATTAAATCTACAGAAAAACACCATCATGTCAGACGAAATGGAAAACTCAAAGGTTCCGGAGACGACCGAGGAGCAGAAAGTGAGTGTGTTTGTGCGGAACAGAACATCATTAAGGCGGAATCGTGAGTTTGAGCTCTGTCCGTTAGCTAGCTGGGTTTAGCTGTGACCCACTATTGAGCACTCCAGCGGAACATTCGCGTTTTAAACGTCAGAATTAAACCGCCTCACTGGGCAGGTTTCTCATTTTTAAACCCTATACGCGTGAATACTGGCATCCGAACCCTGAAAGAGATCTTAACGCGAATGTTATTTACCGAGAACGCTAGCTCGTCGTGCTACTAGGCTAGCTGAACGTCCTAACACTGCAGCCAGGCCCGATACAAAATGGCGCCGTGCTCCCTACACAAGTGCACTAGGTAGTGTGTGAAGTAGCGGCTCCCGCGCGCTATCTAGTGGCCTTCGTGTGCACTTCAGAGCACATTTGTGATCCGACCAACCGCTTCCTCCAGTACAGACGTTGATGATTGTAGTTACCTGCGTTCGTTAGTGTTGTCGATGGCGCTGACCTGAAATATACTGTAGATGCTGTATAGCTCGAAATTAAAAATAAAATAAAGCTAGCTGATAAGCAGCCGCGTTAGCTGTCAGGTTAAGCTAGGCTAGGCTAGGCTAGGATTTGAAAATGCTAACTCGTTTCTGTGCTAAAACCAGCACGTAGTGATCTGTGTATGTCTGTCGTCGTGGTGTTTTATGTAATAAATAATGTTCAGAATCTAACCAGCTTCTGATTTGTGATGAGACCTGATTAGCCAGGGCTTTATCATCTGCTGTTATCATGTTTAGTGCTGATTGCAGTGGAGTGTAACCACCACAGTGTGGCGCTGTGTGGGGAAATGAATCAGTGACAGGGTGTGTGTGTGGGGTGTTCCACAGGGCTTAACTCCTCAAACTGCAGCACCTTCCCACTAATCACGGCGTGTATAATCACAGAGGAACGCATCGCGCTTTTTATCCGTTTATAGTTACGGTTCGATGTCTGTGAGAGGAGTTCCATCCCGTTCTCGCGTGCTTTACGGCGTCCCTTCGCGCGGCGTGTCGTGTTGCCGTGGAAACTCATCTGTCCTGGAAATGTCCGAGAACTTAGCTACAGCTTGTACCTCTGATACTGGAGACTCCTTCCAGACCTGATAGATGAACATGTCGGTGTTCTGCTCTCAGATTTCAGTAGGGTACAGCTGTGTGAGACACAGACAGGTGAGAGTGTGCGGGAGTGTGTGTTCAGTGCGAGTGTGTGTTCAGTGCGAGTGTGTGTTCAGTGCGAGTGTGTGTTCAGTGCGAGTGTGTGTTCAGTGCGAGTGTGTGTTCAGTGCGAGTGTGTGTTTAGTGCGAGTGTGTAATGGCGGTGTTGGACTCTGATGAGGTGTGTTGTGTAACAGGAAGTGGACAGTGAGGTGATTTGTCCAGAAAGAGCAGAAGAAGCCAAACTGAAGGCCAGATATCCAAACCTGCCGGCTAAAGCAGGAGGCTCCGACCTGCTCCGCAAACGACTGCAGAAAGGGGTGAGGATCTGTCTCTCTGTCTCACTCTCTGTCTCACACACTCTCTCTCTCTCTCTCTCTCTCTCTGTGTCTCTCTCTCTGCCTCTCTCACTCACTCTCTCCCTCTCTCTCCTTGTGTCTGTCTCACTCTCTCTGTCTCTCACTCTCTCTCTTTTTCTGTCTGTCTCTCACTCTCTCTCTTTCTCTCTCTCATTCTGACCTCTTTCTCTCCCTGTCTCCCTTTTCTCCCTCTCTCACGGTCTACCTGTCTGTCTGTGTCTGACTCTCACTCTCTCTCTCTCTGTCTCATTCTCTCTCTCTGTCTCATTCTCTCTCTCTGTCTCTTTCTCTCTCTCTCTCTCTCTCTCTCTCTCTCTCTGTCTGTCTCTCACTCACTCTCTTTCTCTCTCTCATTCTGACCTCTTTCTCTCCCTGTCTCCCTTTTCTCCCTATCTCACTGTCTACCTGTCTGTCTGTGTCTGACTCTCACTCTCTCTCTTTCTGTCTCTCTCTCTCTCTCTCTCTCTCTCTCACTGGCCTTTATTGGCAACTTTTAATCTGACAGTCTTTTTAAAGTCAGCGTAGGAAACAGCCTCTCTGACTTACACAGACACGAGCTAGGACTGACTCGAGGTAGTGTTTTATCAGCGACTCTCCATCATGGGATTAAACATGTGATCAGTATCGGGGGCCAGTGATCCACTGCAGACGTGCATGATTCTGTATTCAATAGAACTCTATACAGCACTGATGAGGTCACGTCTGGACTGTGGATCAAACCTCATCTAGAAAATATGTTCTCCTGGGACAGACACACTCCTGTAACATCCTTCCCTGGAATATTGAACATCATCCAAACATAATCACGGATCTGACAAGGAACACAATAATCTCACACGATTTCCCCCAACAACTTTTACGTGTCCGAGAAAGTTTTCCGTCATACACTCCGAGATATATACACACACACACACTCACAGACGGATCAGAACGTGGAGATCATGTGCCAGATGGTTTTGTAGTCAACCATCCATCAAGAAAGTGGAACCATAGTTCAGTTTTTACTGCAGAACCCGCTGCTATTATTATTTTGTCCCCGGATTATATTAAAAGTTCCTAATAATAACAGACTCAGTAATGGCTTCAAGCTCTGGCATCCCTAAAAACGAACACCCAGCTGTTTGGAGCAGTTTTAAATGGACCGCGGTCTTTGGAGGCACGGAAATGTACAGAAATTGTTTTGTTGGGTATCAGGACGCTGTGGAGGTCCGGAAAATCAGCAAACAGATGCTGCATCTAAGGAGGCCTCATCTCCAGAGCTCAAAACAAAAACAGCCCTGTTCAGACCTCCTTCACACCTCAAACCCATTATAAACTCATGTGTCTTCCAAAAACGTGAACCGGATCATTCCGCTTGGATAATCTCTGGGACCGGATAAACCGCTCCAGACTCGCTCACACGTATCTGCTCACGCATGAAGATCCTCCGTTACACCAAAGAACAACATCTCTGAGGCATATTTTAATGGACTGAGATGCTTTCAACTCCTTTACGACTCTTTTTTTTAAATAATTATTTGGATGATGCGTATGAA